TGATCGGTGACATCATCGTGCCATGGAAGCAGGTACTTCGCCTGAACCGGATGTTGGAAGAGTTCAAGTATAAAGAATCTGACACATTCCCTGCGGTATGTTTGTCCCCTACCCGCCAGCCAAACCCCTGTCTGCATAATCTCTTTCTCGTTAATCAGCCCATCTGTCTGCGCATAAAGTACTGACAAGCAACTCAGCATCTCCGCCCACTCGTTGCCGACCTTCCCCTGGAGTCCGCAGCCAAATTACTCGACGAGTTTGCTAGGAGAGAGGCATTGGAAGAGGCTAAGATCCTCCAGGAACACGCCACCAGCAGCAGAGCGACGTCTTCGAGCAGATCAACTCACTAATCACTACTATGGCAACATCTCGCCAGCGATGGATGATGGGGGGTTGGGGAGTCGGAGGGAGGCTCCAAATCAGACAACTTAGAGATAGGGGAACAGCACGTTTGCCTTCGACATCCTACGAGATTTTCGGCGGGTTTTAGTGTTGTGATGAATGGGATACCCTGAAAAGATCATTCTCGTGATCTTATTCTTCCTTGCTTCTCTGCTTTGTGGGCACTTATCAACCAAAAGGGATGTGTTTGGACTCTCGGACTTTGCCTCAGCTTGAGATACCCTGCAATTGGATGTCGCAATGGCCTCACTGCTGAGTGAAACCGGAATGGCGAGGCTCACACGCGGGATCGACGAATTGCAAATTTGGACATGGGGAAATTCAATTTTCTGTCAGATATTGTGGCTCTCCAGTCACGATCCATCCTACTCCCACTTTACGAACATACCAGACCAATGGACGCAGGCCAAAAGGGGGCTCGTGACAAGTCTATCATGTACGGGTCTTCCGGAAGGATGAGATTTGACACCAAGGTTGTGGGCGCAGGGCGCGCCAGCTTCGGCTTTCGATTGTTCTCTTCATATTGTTCTCTCGTAACTATCCAAGGGGCAATTCCTAGACTGCCATATTGGGATGGTTGCATCATGCAGGTTTGCTGCGTTGATGCCCCTATTGTCCTATCCTGGGTGAAGAGACGGGGTCCCCTGTCCTCGTTGCCCCATTCTTGCAGGGGCTTAAGTGCCGTTTACCAACTGCTCACATCTTTTTTGACGTGACCAACATTGAGAACCAATAGAACTTCACTCAGGAGCCCGAAAGTCTGGATCCCTGACCGCACTGTGTCAAGGTTGTCGAAGAAGCAAACACCAACAAGCAGATCGTCTGTTGGAACCTATCCCCCAAAGCTGCCGGAACCGACCAGTAACGATTGGCTTTTTCCCGTGACCTCGCACTATCGGTAACGCCTTTTGTTGCCCACTTGTTTCTGTGGACTCGTGAAAAAGTGATGGATTAGACGTCTCTCCTGGTGACGCCCCAATCACTCACCGCTTTTGACATGCCAACAGTGTTTTGTGGACAATCATTACTTCATGAGTCGCAATGATCAAAATTAAATGCTCGATGCGGACACTCTCAAGTCCACTCACCCCAATGGCAACACTCGAGTCACTGGGTCTGGAGCAGGCGGCGGAAATAAATCACCGTATCCGTTGGTGCCGGGTACACGAACCCGATGCTATGGGATCAACCCTGGCGTCCGCGAAGCTCGACCCACTGTTGGTTGTGTCCAGCAAGCAAAGAAGACTCTTGGATACGAATACGAACGACGTAGCTTTGAAAAAGAGATGTAAGGCGGCTGAACAGTTTGGAAAAGAGATCTTGCAACATTGCTGTAATCTCATGGTGACATTTGGATTCTTCAACAAACAAGATCGAGTGTTCCATCGACCCGGACTGAAGCAGACCGGTCCCTCCCTCTTCCCGGAGTCCGGCGGTGAAGAGACTTGGAGTACTATTTAACAACTTACCAGCACATCTTACCGGAAGCAAATGTTTGCTCGACTGCAAAGAAAGTCCGAGCAATCGGTGAGACGATTAAATTGTGGGGGCGGTTTCCGTTTGAGATATCCTGCATGTCTTGGCTGTCAGACGCACTTCCAACATAGAGCACGTGAATACCACTTCCAATCGGTGGTGGAGCCGTGCAGAAACCCTGCAGGAGACACAAGGAGGCTCAACATGCACCAACCCGACTACATCGTCGGAGCCGATACCAGATGAAGCCGAGATGAGCATCACTCACACGGAGCTTCGGAGGCAGCATGAGGGCATCACGACCATTGACAGTCCATACGCAAGATGAACTTGACGTTATATCTGAGACATCACCCTTCATCACACCTACCAGGCATGCCAACGTCGTCACCTCGCTGGCCTCGGCGAAGCTAGAGAACGCTAGAGGGGCGTCTCGGCATTCCCCAGACCGTGAACCAAGTTAGTCATCACACAGAACCATACACGCTCTCAGCTGTCAACCCAGTCAGCTCGGAGTCGTCGAAGAACCGGTGGTAACCCGATGCGGCGAAATCAGGGCGAAGCCACGTGCAGCTGTCGGTTCTTCAGCGCACCGTCTCTCAAGATCTGCGCCATACAAAGGCTCAGCTTCTTGCCTCTTGAGGAAATACACACGAGAAAACCCAGGGTCCTGCTGTGACCCTGTAGCTGGCTTACGGCCATGCACAGCTTCGAAGAACGGCGCTTCATGTTAGTGCGCGAGTCCTTACCACATTGAACAACGACTAAGCGCCCCCATCGAAATTTTGCTGGAAATGCTCTGTTCTCGTCTTTTGTCCGATGAGCTGATCTGTGAAAACGGTAACCCGTGTCCCGCGAGCTAGAACGCCGCCACCAAAAGCTTCCTCGCCAACCACACGTCCGGAATGACACGATCTAGTCACGGTCGGCTAAGGAGAACTAGACCACCGGGGAAGTCCACTAGCCCGTCCCGATGCGGCGAAATAGCATCCTCGATTTCCCATTTTTGTCACATTCCTGATCGCCCACGGATCGACAGCTGCTTTCTTTGCTGCTGGACGCCTTGCGCTGCATTCGTCCAAAGTTACGCAGCCCTGCTGACAATCAGCGAATCAGTCCGGGCAAGCCAAAGAATGTGGTCGTCTTTCTTCTCTCGCTTTCGCCAAGAATAACTAATCATGTAAATTTTTCGTCTTTTGAACCGATGGGTTTATAAAACTGTCGCTTACCCCACCGATTTCCCCCTGCCCCCGGAAGCCCCCGAGTGAGGTTTCAATTTTCGCAACATCAACCCAGGAGACAGATACATCGCGAGATTTTGTGTCGCCTCCTTATCGACATGGATTTGCCGAAGCTTACGCCCGAGGAGATGGCGGAGGATAGGTCGGCTACCGTTATTGGAGTGGTGACGATGTGTTTCGTCCTCTCAACCTTCTTCCTGGTCCTTCGGTTATGGACCCGAATACATGTCGTCAAGTCAACTGGGCCGGATGACTGGGCCGCAGCATTTTCTCTGATACCAGTTCTAGGCTGCGGAATCGCCATCGCAACAAGTTCGTCTTGTCCACATCCTTGTTCCTGAACAAACAACTGACTAGTAACAGTGACGCGATACGGCCTTGGAAAGCACATTCAGACGGTCTCTGTGCCCGAGTATGTCGAGTTTACCAAGGTGAGCAAGCCCTTACCTTTACCTTTCGAACTTTTCTGACCGGTATTCCAACAGTGCTTTTGGGTCTCTGTCGTTTTCTATGGCCTGGGACATCTATCTTTCAAGATGGCATTCCTCCTCCAGTACTATCGCGTCCTAGCTTCGGGCCACATGCGGAAATTCTATATTGCTGCTATGGTCCTCGTGACAGCTTGGGGAGTCTCTGTTGTCATCATGTCGCTGGCATTTTGCACACCCATCGCTGGGTTCTGGGACCACAGCATTCCTGCGAAGTGCCTGTCTCAGCAGGTTCTCTATTACGTCTTCGGAGCCTGCAGCATCATCACCGACGTCATCATCTTCTTGCTTCCATTGCCAGCCCTGATGAAGCTTCAGCTCCCTCGTTCTCAAAAATGGTACCTGCTGGGGATCTTTAGTCTCGGATTCTTGTAAGCTCACCCGCTCCCCTTCGAAAATCTAAGCCGATGAGAATCTGACAATTCCTTGTAGCATCGTCGCCATCTCTGTCTTCCGTCTGCAATTCCTCAATATCCAGGCAGACTTTACGTACTGGAACGTAAAACCCGCGCTATGGTCGATGGGCGAATTGTCGGCAGCCATGGTGTGCCTCTGCCTCCCTCCCCTCAAGGCCCTTCTCGCCAGAATGGGTCTGGTCGTCGCCACCAGACAGGCTGTGTCCTCGAACAACCGGAACAGCCGCAACTTCGGACCGGCGCCATCGAGCGTGGCGCAGTCTGCCTCTGGCAAGACATTGGAGATCACTCAGACCAACTCCCCTGGGGAGAAGCCGTCGGCTTTTGGAAACTTTGTCGTGGAGACTGAGAGGGATCGCAGCGAGCAGAGTACATCATCTTCATTGCCTCCTGTATGAGGTTTGTGACGGTCTCATGAGTAATGATGTCATGCGGTTTGGTTGGCGCAATAGGGATATGGTGATCTGGTTCTTTGTCCCATTAGCTGGGGATTAATTATTGCGATGGCGGCGTTCATCAGGATATTGGACTGATACCACACCTCTTATTTGCATGTCAAGAAAAAAATACAATAATAGCATAATAACGAGTTATTTTATCTCTGCCTTATTATAGTTCGGGGTAGGGCACTGATTCCCTCCCAAGCATGATCAATGCCTATGGCTAACGACATAATTAAAACGTGTTTCAATTTACTCGAGCGCCAAGTCCATTCGAGCATTTCGCACTACCAAAAGTGACCACGAACTGCGCTCAATATGCCAGCTAGGATCACCACTTGTAGCCTCGACCATGATCTTCAGGGAAATTTTGCTGATTGGCCGAGGCACAACTTCTCATCGGCCGCCTCTATCTAATAAAAGCGAAGCTAAAGATGTGATGAGATCACACAACAATTTGAAGGACTCATCTCAAACACAGATATGGGAATCACTGCCATGGAAGTGTCTATCAGGACTCTATGCATATGCATGCATTCAAGAGCATTGAGTACCACCCAAGGACGCCACCTTGCCACGGCCGAGACAGCAGCTGCGGTAGCTTGTGTATGCAGACTGAGGAATACAACACTTTGAGGCAAAAGAATCAGCTCGGGTTGATAGAGAAGTCGAGATAGCATTAGTGACTTACTTCCCAGTTTTGAGCATACTGTGAGACCTTGCCTGGGCAACAGGCTCTTTGATCTGCTTCCGAGCTCCAAGATGCAGTGTCGACAGCACAGTTTCCAACATATGTCTGAGCCATGGAGGAACCAATCATGGCAGCTAGTCTTTCGTCAGAACTCGAGTACAAACGCGTCTTCTGGATTCGTACGCACCAAATAGAACGGACGCGGAGAGACGCATGTTGAACGATCGTAAATGCGGGTGCTTAGGCTGAGTGTAGCGATGGTGATGATTTCAGTGAACCGGTAGCAACTCCAGAGATGATCGTCATATTTATAATCTACTCCCTCTCTCAGGGTTCGGGCTCATCGGGGAAATCAATCACACTAAGTGGATAATTCATTTATATCCCATCGGCAAGCCGATGTTGCTTGTGAAGTTTACAGAGCTTGCGAGTTACGCAGATCAGCAATTACCAAGTGAAGAATTGACATAGCAAGTAGATCTGCAGCGCGGGATCCGCGAAAGTTCGAAGCTATGTTTACTGACGGGCCAATGAAGGCTGAGCACGCATAAATCCTGGATCTTGGTCAACTCAACTCCCCGCCGATCCCTACTCGGTACGAAAGCGATACCGATACGAACGCGAAAGTTTCTTAGGAACTCCACAGCTCAATACACCTTACCTGCGCATATGCAAGGCGATTTAAATAGTGCAGGAAGTTAGTTCGCAGCATTCATCAATACGCCTGGCGGAAATCATTGCGAGTAATTTGTGATTTCGCGTACAAATCAGATAATCCCAGATCAATAAGTCACCAATTAGCTCGACAAAGAGCACTCAGCAGTGAAAGTATTGCACAGGACCGAAATAGGTGTTGAGTACACGATGTTCGCTGTTTCCTATAGATAATCCCGCTTCTCAGACACAAAGGTCAACCGCGACTGAAATCAAATGCCCCCCTTCTCTTCTATCTCTGTTCCTCTGTTTCTCTGAGTTTTCTATGCTTTGAGAACATTCTCCTGATCCATGTGCGGAATACGCGTGGAATTCTTTCCGGGTGACTGCACTCGCCCGCGTCCGACTTTGCAAATTCGGACGTCTTGGGATGGGCTGGCACCCATGAAGCAATCGCCCTCCTGATAGAGTCCAACAAGTCAAACAAATGCAGGCCATGCCTTCCCTGTGTGTAATGACTACGAATGCAACTGCAAGCTCCGCCTTCACACGAGAACAAGTCGATGAAGCAATGTGCCATCTCATGAATCACAAAGCAGATGATGTCGGCGACACTGTAGTAATCGCCATAAGTGTTAATGTCAATGCGTGCACGAGTTGGCGGGGAATCGAGGTAATTCGTGATAATCGATGACATGCTCCAAGTGGCCATCTCGGGATCGAAAAGTCGAATGTCGATTTCGAGACAGTAACGGTCTTTCTGCGACCGATACCTGTCGGTCTGTGTAAGTTGACCGGCGAAGAACAGTTGATCGATCAACTCAGCGCATCTGCGTATGTGCTTGTGGTGACTGGGACGGTCGCTTTTGAACTTTTCGGCGTAGCCTTTGACTATGGCGTGGCAGAGCTCGTCTCGGGCGCGGGTCAAATCTTGGGACGTCGGTATTTTTTCAATCTCATCTATGACCCCATTGATCAAGTCATGGGGAAAGTAGCAGCCTCTCTTCAAAGGCAGATGTGCTAGATAGCCTATGTTTTGCGTGTGAAATTGGCACGGTTTGATTTTGTCCATGGGCTTTTGGCGAGTGCTGTCGATCAATCTGCTCTGTGTTGTTGACTGATTACTTGCACGCTGCGTAGACATCCTCCTAAGTGTGATCGGCGGGGAATAGCCACCTGATATAGAACTGACTATGCACCTATGTGGGAAACAAAGCTTGAATGCGATTTTCGGCAGAATTCTATGAAGATTGACCAAGAACAATTGAACTGACTTCAACCCAAGTGTGGAGGTTCACGGCAATCTCACTTCGTCGCATTCATCACGGAGGATGGAAACCCTCAAGATCTACATAAAACCCCATCATTCCAGACTTTGTTTGTTTGCTGTACTTCCTTTACTGAAACTGTGACAAACAGTTTCAGAGAATCGGATTCCTCTACAACACGCACCAAGCTCCAGCAACACATCAGCTTCGTACATTATTGTACGCCAGATACCTGCAGATTCTGTATGTCACCTCAATTCTCAACCGACCTGTCTCCTCGGCAGAACTTTAACGAGCAGTGGGTCTGTAGGCACAGCAGCTACCCATTCCCTTCTCTTTGGCAGCTCTACCGGTATCCAGCCGTGGCCGTATGAGTGACTTGAAGACTCGTCAGGGGCAACCAACTCAGAACTCTGGATGATTTTCGCCAAGCTGAGGTAAAGTTCGTAGTAGGAAAAGCTATTCAGGTTAAACGTCAGACAGGTTCTCGATCATGCGGAGAATTGATGACTTACTGGAGGCCAATGCAAATGTTTGGCCCTTTCGAGAATGGAACATAGAATTTGTCTCGAAGGGCGTCTTCTTTGATTCTCGTTCCGCTCTCATTGACCCAACGGTATGGATCAAACAAGTCGGGGTTTGGGAATGCAGACTTGTCCCGCAAATACCAAATTGGCGATGAAGTCAACACGGTCTTTGTTGGTCAGTTAGATCTTTTTGGACAAATCGAACAGTACTGAAAGAAGATGCAAACCAAACGTTTCGTTCATAAACGGCAAGAAGTGCCACAAAAAGCACGGGGGAGATAACACGAAACATATAAACGATGACAGCAGAAATAGAACAATAGTGAATCGCACCTACCCCTTCTGGGACGAATTTACCAACCAGCTCCACGCCGCCTTTTGGAACAACCCGGGGCAACATCGCAGCAGCAGCACCGGCCCAACGAACGCCTTCCTTCACGCAGGCCTTCAGTCGAGGAATGTTTTCCAAAGCAGTCAAGTCGGTTGGGAATCTCATGCGAGCAAGATCTTCATAGAGCGCTTGTTGGAACACTTGGTTTTTGGACAGTGCGTACAGGGTGTGTGCCAATGAAGCTGAAGTTGTGTCTGTTCCTGGTCCCAAGTTCTCTTTGGCTTCGGACAGTGCGGTTTGGGATGGAACTCCCGCTGCAACCATGACTCTGATCAAGTTGGGAAATTCAGAGGATGTCGGTTTCTCGGCGAGCTTGTTGCGAGTCCAGGCATCGTGTGTCCACTAAAACATCATAAGTCGTGGATAGAGCGGTGTCGACACGTTACAAACCTGGTCGTATTGCGCAAGGCCTTGTTTGTACGATACTCGTGACCCAGTAGCTCGGCAGACGATGTCCTCAATTGAAATCCAAAGCTCATACAGCGTCGGAAAGTTCATAAGCTAATTAAATCAGTCTGTTGCCTCTTCATTCCTGTTGATGATAAACCTACCAAAGGCATCAACGTCGCTTTATGGTCGTTCTTAGATACTATCGCGAGATCTTCTTCTTTAGACCAAGCAGCAATGGCATGGAGTGCCTCACCGAAAGAGAATTCCGCTACAGCTAGTCAGTCTTGGTACAGCTCTGGGATGCTTCATGCCAAGGTACAAATGATGTCTGCTTCAAGCGCTCTACATGCCGGTCCAATGTCAAATGCACCAAACTTTTGGCGGATCATTTCAACAAAATGGTCCACATGCTTGAGCATTAGGTCTTCCAAATGCCCAATTTTGCTGCGACTGTATAACTGGCCAAGTATCCTTCGACGCTTCGCATGTTCTTCTGGATGACTTATTGTTCTCAGTTGTGGATTATTTAGGTTCAGCAAGTCAGCTTACGTGATTGAGAAAAGGGCTGGATGGCCGTCTTGAACGAATTCGCCATAGTTGCGCGGGTCTTTTACGAAACCACTGTTGAGCTTATGCACTGCGTCGTAAATTTCCATGGAGTAGAATGAGACCTCGTTAGCACCTATCTGGACAAGGGGACCTATCGCCACATAAATCAGTCTCGTTGTACCAGCAGCGACCCTCTGAGTGGCGATAAGCACCTAGCCGTTCGTGAAGCTCGGGAAGCTTCAGGGTAAGGTTGCCTCTGTACTCTTGCCAGAAGACCCATAACAGACGTGAGTAATTAGCTCCCCAGCCGGCGTTTGGTAAGTGAGATAGAGACGACGTGCGAAGCTTAGTGAAAGTCTGCGAGCTGTAAGTAAGCGGTCAACCGATGAACGTGTTTGTCATTGATCGTTGTCACCTTTACTATCGCCAATGCCACCAACACCAAGAGGCCCAAAAGTGTTACGGCAAGCAGAGCCATGGCTGAGTATTATTCTTCAAACCGAGGCCGTAAAGTTTAACTGCTTCTCAGATAATAGGAATATGCAGGTGCGGTTGCGTCCAAGTTGTCCACGAAGAGGTTCAGAGCATGAGCCGAGGCAACTTCGAAATTGCATCAATAGCTCCGACGACTTATTTCCAATTCAGATCGTCCACTGCGACTTTTATCTGACAATTGTCTGACCGCTATCATTTCACCTTGCTAGAACCGATTGCGTGATTGCCTTTTCCTTCAAACCCATGCAGAATTTCCATAATTGGAAGTCCAACCCGGATAATAGCCCTTCAGCGGGTTTGATGAAACTTGACACCGGGTCACATGAGCTGACATGTCGTTCGCTGTTTGACTTCAATTTGCGGTGCTGCATCCAGCCATCTATGAGAAGTATTAATTACAAAAATAGGGTGCCGTGTTACCGGAGGCGGAGCTAGCTCCGTTGTACATTCGCAACAATTGGGGTCAATTTGAGCGCAGAAAAATGCATGCGCCAACCGGAAAGATACAAAGAAAAAAGCGCGTGAAAATAGATAAATCTCTGAGAATTCTTCTCAATCCAAACCATCTCCATATAATCTGAGCTCACCTCGCTAACAACAGAGGGCTGTTGCTTGCGCGTGTTGCTAAAGCCGTTTAGTGCCTACATGCCGATGCCGTCATCCAGTCCCACATCACGCGAGTCAAAATTACCGCCATTGGAAGGGTTTCGCTCTTCACTAAAAACAAAAGCCGAGTATTTCCGTCCCACCTGACGAGTTTTCGGGTCATTTGACGGACCTACCATAAGATGCGCGCATTCTCCATTTTGCGTGTTTTTCTCTTTCTGAACATCCCGCAATTCGCCCGATTTGGACAGACACCCAAGACTGCTTGAGTGCAACGCCAAGATGACTGCGCAGCGGGAATATGGCACCGTCAACAAGGACGTGGGTGTCACGAACAGCGACACCGAGGGAGAGTCCAGCAAGGACACACGGATCTTGGTGCGTGACCTGACACATACAGACTGGGTGCCGGGGGTATGGGCTGACTGAAGAATTCTTTTTAGGAAAACCTAGGTTACAAACCTGTAAGTTGCAAACGTCCTCATTGGACTTTCCGATAGCTGACTTGATTTCTAGGTGTTGCACAGAACGTTTAATGTTTTCCACAATTTTGCGACAACTTTTGGTGAGTTCCGCATCGGAAGCTCTCAACAGAACGCGCGCGCTAAGTTGACCTAGCTGCTCTTTATTTCATTGGCGGTGTCCGCGTGACATTCTCGACTGGAATTGCAGCTGGCGGAAACTTGGCTTACTGGTAAGATCAAATCCACACTGCGCTAAGTCAAGCATACTCAACAACAAGTAGGACGAGTTTTATCGTTACATGCGTCTTCACATTCATTACCGCCGCTGTCATCGCAGAGATTTGCTCGTCACTTCCTCTCGCTGGTTCTATCTACCTGTGGGCTGCTGAAGCTGGAGGGCCCAAGTATGGAAGACTGCTCGGTTTCATCGTTGCGTGGTGGAGTACCACCGCGTGGACAACGTTCTGTGCCAGTGAGTTTTGAGTTCTAACTTCACAACTGCTTGTCCTCTATGACGCATAGACTTACAAAGCTTCAGGCAACACTCAAGGAGCTGTCAACTATATGCTTTCGGTCAGTTACCGCTTAACTCCGAATATGGCTGGAAGTATTCTTGCTAATGAGTTGACAGGAAATCGTCGTCTTCAACTTGGACTTTCCGTCTGACAGCTCAAGTATCAAGTTCAGGGCGGTCCAGTGGGCTGCGACTGAAGTAATGCTTGCCGCTGCCGCAATTTGGAACTTGCTGCCGCGTAGGTTGTCCATGTCAGTGTCACTGCAACTCTGCTAACAGTAGCCCAGCTCGCTATTTCAAATGGATTTTCTACCTGTCCACTGGCTTTGTCCTGTTGGACTTTGTGCTGAACATGATCTGGTTGCCCATTGCCACGAAGAACACCATCGGCTTCCGCTCAGCTCATGACGCCTTCTTGACGACCTACAACGGCACCGGCGCCCCTGACGGATGGAACTGGTGTCTCTCGTATCTTGCCACTGCGGGTATTCTCATTGGCTTCGACGCCTCTGGGCATGTTGCGGAAGAAACCAAGAACGCTAGTATCGCGGCTGCACAAGGCATCTTCTGGAGCACTGTGACCAGCGGCATTGGGGGTTTCATTGTCGTTATTCTGTTCCTGTTTTGTGTTGTAAGTCTACATGATGCAGACCAGGATATATGTGCTGACTTGATACAGCCCGACGCAGATACCCTCTTCTCGTACGGTGGTGCTCAGCCGTTCGTGCCCTTGTACGCTGCCATTCTTGGCCAGAGGGCACACATCTTCATGAACATCATCTGCATCATTGCTTTGTGGTTTGTAAGTCACATTCAGACCCCTGGAACGCAGAAGAAAGGCTGACACTTTTCAGAACACTGCTATCGCCGTCCTTGCCGCCTCTCGCCTGGTCTTCGCCGTCGCTCGCGATGGTGTCCTGCCGTACTCCTCCTGGGTTTCCAAGGTTGTCGACGGCCAACCCAGGAACGCGATTCTCGTCGTGTGGGGAGTGGCTTCCGTCATCACTTGCACGATCCTCCCATCTTCCGTGGCCTTCACCTCGCTGGTCTCCGCGGCAGGTGTCCCGTCAGCGGCCGCCTACGGTCTCATCTGTCTGGGCAGACTTTTCCTGACTCCCAAGACATTCCCCAAGCCCGCGTGGAGTCTTGGAAAATGGAGTCGCCCCTTTCAGGCGATCGCCGTCTTGTGGAATGGCTGGGTTGTGGCGGTGCTGTTCTCCCCGTATGCATTTCCCGTAGAGGCGTCAACACTCAACTACGCCCCGGTCATCATGGGCATTGTCACCATTTTCGCGGTGTTCTCATGGTGGTTTATCCCTGCTGAGAAGTGGCTGCCCTCTCAGCGTATCCAGGAGACGTTGGATGCCGGAGAGAGACCGTTGGTCGAGCACTAGGCCATCCTTCCTGTTGAGCAACATGAGATTCGAAGCTTTGTGAGGATGCCAAGCATTAAATCTCAACTACATTTTTGGTTTATCAAATTTCTAATTCCCTGGAAAGACCAAACACAATCCGACATAGACTACATGCATAATATTCTCTGTTAATAAAACCACGAGTTGAAAGAGGTCTAAGCACCCTTGAACTAATTCGTAGCAGCCTTTCTAAATTAAGGAAGTTTAGATACCATGATACAGGACTAGGTTTGTCCAGGAAAACAGATAACTCCGCTTGTAAATCGTTCAAAAAGATCACCTTGATGGACGTGTACGCCTGTTACCACCTCTATCTGGCCAAGTAGCAAAAGGTATCCGTCCGGACCTCAAGGTACTTCACTTTCTGTTTTTCAAAAACAAGGTCGCGGTCGCACCCTAAACCAACCAAACGCCAGCGAGCACTTACTTTCACAAAACTTTAGAAGCTCCTCAGTCTCAAAATCTCCAACCTAGTGGGCATCTACAATCTACTTCACTTTGCCCAACTGCAATATCAACATTTCATGAGCGACAAACAGCGACATCGAGAACATTCTACAACGCCAAGTACCGAAATGGCCACCCAGACATTCCACCAGTTTCCCATGCTGCCGGGGGAGTTACGAGACCAAATCTGGGATCTCGCAGTTCGCCCGCCCGGCTACCGAGGCGTCCACATCTTCACCTACATCGATGAAAACGTCTATCGCGACCATCGGCCTACTTCTGACACGTTTCCTCGGCACCTAGCAAAGAAGATGTGCGATCCTCGCCGATTCGTTGGCGCACCGACTCCCGCCAACGACATATCCCCGCACTCCTGGACCGCGGGTAATCCGTCAACGTACGCCGTCGACGGAGGCCTCCTCACCGCCTGCAAAGAGTCTTATATGGCAATGTGCCGTCGCTATAACGCCGGAAAGTGGTCCAAGTATGTCGACGCTTGTTCAAAAGTAACGAACCCGATACAACACTCGCACCTACCGGAATTCACTGTAAAAATAGATGAATTCCCGGCAATGTTCAGCGTCGACAGTCGTGGAAGCCCCCAGTGCTTCATGGTTCTTCCCTGCCAGGACCTAGTACTTCTGCAGGTGTGGGACGTCATCATAGACACTGAATGGGTGATAACCAAGCTCCTGCCATTTGCACCCCGGCTAGTCGGGAGCAGCATGGTCAAACACATAGCCCTCGAATTCGACAGTTCATTGACCATCGATGGCCTCCGAGAATATCAGTATTTTTGGAGACGCGATTTTAACAACGGACTTAAAGGAATTTACCGCAATTATCCCGATAACATGGATAAAACGACTTGGCTGAAATATCACGGGCTGGTTTCGGCCATGAAGAGTTGGACGTCATCCCCGGATACGAGGCTCTGGCTCGTCGATCGTCGACTGCGCCAAAAGCAAACCGTCCTCGACGCGCAGGCATCGTACTATGTATTGGAAAAAATTGATGAAACGAGCCACGAGCGTCTCGTTTTCGAGGCCGAAGACAGCACATACTTCGGTCTTCCGAATCTCTGCGCTTGGGAATTTTGCGAGTACGAAGATAAGACGAACGAAACGACGACAATATGGGAGTTCATATCCGTGTTGGACGATATTGCCGGGTATCAGCTATTGAAAGAGAGAGACCAACATTATCAAATTGGAGCCCATGCTGACTTCCATACTTTCGGGATCTTGATTTGTGAGCCTAAGCAGTAATGTCACAAATAACCTCCAGAATCTGATCAATTTTCGATCTCTCAAGACTCAAAATCGCGAAGGCAGACGAGATCTAGCAACCATTGAGTGGGGGATTTGGGATGGCAGGGGAGTCCAAGGTGCCTTCTTCAGTTTTATATCCGCAATTTGACGTCTCGATGGATAAAGTGCTTCTCATTTAAACTCATAGTTATGATCTCTTGAATGCGTGAATGTCCCGTGAGGGAGTTCAGTCTTGTCCTGTGGCTTTATTACGCGCCACCCTGTACTGTACAAACAACCGTCCGTTCCCCTTTCCATTTCCCGTGCGGTTCCGTGAGTCAAGTCTTTGAGCGAATACCAAAGAAAGCAGCTGTTCCATCCCATATGTTCACTCGGAATGCCGTTGTCCGGAAGACCGAGTCTTAGTCAATACCGCGCGCGTCCTCAACTCACAGCGGTCTTGCTGCAAGCCACCAGACCTTCTGGCCATTGCTCCTTGCCGCGATACCTTCCCCCCTCTTCCACAACTTCACACTGAAATCTTCGTATGGGTCAATCGCCTCGTCCGTCATCCCGAAATCCTTCAATTGCGGTGCCCAACTTTGCACTTGTCCCAGCACTGCCTTCAGTATCGCCACGAAGGCGAGGCCATGCCCGCTCCCATCCAAATCCCGGTGCATCGTCTCAAAGTCTGTTCCGCACTGCTTCTGTCGACAGGAAAGGAGTATCAGGTAGGCGTGGACCATTTCGTGGATCGCGATTTGGATGACTTCTCGGAGCGAAAGCGCCTCCGTCCTGCCGTCCGCATGGTGGCGGACCGTGCTCAAACGGATGGAGATGCTCGGGCTCGGACTGGTGTTGCGTAGTCCAGGCTTAGTCCGGAGAGCCTGAGTCCACCCCACGCGACCCCGCCATTGTCCGATTTCGAGAAGCACCGGATGCGAGGCGTGGTTCAGGTGGGCTGTGGGGAAGAGCAGGCCGGGAAAGCAGAGTTCATCGATCAATTTCATGAGGGTAAAAATCGTGGTGGCTGAAACGACTTTCGGGCTTTTGTCGGATCCTTGTTTTGATAGAATGCGGGCGACGGTATCTCTCAATGGTTTCTCGCGGGCGGTCCATTGCACTTGTCCGGCGATGCTCTCGGCTAACGTTATTGCGACGTCGTTTATGTTGTGTGACTGCGCCTGTACCAGGTGATCGTTCTTTCGGAATATCGAGGAGGAGTGTTGGCAGCGCGGTGGCGAATTTCTCGACCTCTTCTGTGATTCTGCCATCTTAAACTTGCTGCAACGGTCGAAATGATGTTTGGCAATTGTTCGAGTTTGAAGTGATATTGGTGGCAGGTCCGTTTTGTAAGTTTTGTTTCTCACACCTGGACGCGCTTGGGTGCGTCTGGCGCAGCTGCCAGATGTCGCAGCGTTGGGCACGTTCCTTCCTTCCCATAGGGTTGTGTAGGAAGGGTCAAAGAAGGTGCCTGGGCTCATTCCCAGGACTCAAATTCCGACCGCAGTCAGTGCCGCGGGGTGGTCTTGATGGGTCTGGGTAAGTCCTGCGCGTCGCGCGTGGCATGGTAAAGGAACATGGTTAGGTGCTGGGGAGGAGGGACAAGGGAATGCAGTGGTGTGTGCTGCTTTGGTTTAGAATTGATGATATGATATGTAGAAAGCCTGGCCAAGACAGGGCAGAAGAGTCTAAGATGATGGGAAAGGGATTACAAAGTAGTAGTCCGTCCGTATGTTGAGCCGAAAAGATGCACCTGGTAGATTCCGCATGGAGGACCGCCGCCGCCAAAACCATTGATAACACCGTCGCCATGCTAATATGCTTTTCAAACTTGACACGCCATTGTGCCGACCCGCGAAACAAATGAAAGTAAATATACAATGACTGGCGATGCCGCTGATGCATTCCGGCATCCCCTAACGTATGGTGATGATGGAGCTGGGGCTGCTGTCGTAGCTTAAGACCAGCCCTCGTCGGTCATCGTGACGGGCCCATTGCCCGTCGTGTGAGTCATAATGTCGTTCGTGGTGAGCAGATGAGTGTCTGCTGGAGGCGTAATCGTCGGGGAAGTAGAGTCGTCCACGTGTCTCGCGGATCTCGCCTTCCTCCAACGGCTCCACTTCTTCAAATTCCCCCTCAGTCGTGGTCGGGATCGTCGATGTGGGACTACTACCCCGACTGACGGGAAAGTATTCTGGGTGGTCATTGATGCAAAAATCCCAACGATCCTGGTGGTGGGGGCGTGGTCTGTCATGTTCGTAGGATCGGTGCTCGTAGTAAATGTGCTGATGAGGCGAAAGGTACTCCTGAGAGCTGTGGAAGATGGCCCGAGGAGACGCCTCAGTAAATGTCGGCCCGTGACCGCAGGAGTGACCTTCGTCCTCACGGAAGTGCTCTAGGTCAGCTTCCATGTCGCGGAGGTGCAGGTTGTCCGACCCAGCCCAGATATCGATGAGCTCTGCGATTCTCCGAAATCCTGGCGTATGTCCACCGCAGTGACGAGCCTTGATGCCGCACTTGATGAATAGGTAGCTGTGAATGAGTTCGTGTAAAAAGGTTGAGATGAGAAGCCGTCGATTGTACTTCTTATCTTTCAAGATTGGGTTCGAAAGCACAATGAGGGTCTCAAATCCTCCCATCTTGGAACGTCGAAGAGCTGTGGTGCCGATGATGTGGTCCTTGTACTGGGCGCTGGACGCATGAGACCAATCCCAGGTGACTCGCTGAGAAAGACAGTTGTGAAAGAAAATCTCATTTGCCGCAGAGAAGATACTCTCCAACGCGGCGTTGTCGATGGAGAACTCGGCGTGGCGTGACCGTGGTTGAATGAGCGACCTCAAAATCCTCTCCCGCTGCGTGTCTTTCGCTCGGCGCCGGCTGAGGTGCAATCGATCCTCCACCATTCGGGCGGCAGCATCATCGTCCAGAAGTCTCGAGTCCTCATCTTCGGCGAGGTTATAAATGCTGGTGTCGGACGAAATTGATAAACCTGATGCGGTCCTTTCCATGGCTGATGGGCTGACATCGGGTTCCGCACATTCGGGCGTGGGCGGTGTCGGCGATGTTTGCTCTCGGATAACCAGAAAAGACAGGTTTTGCACTGGAACAGAGCCGCGTGGTGGTGGTGGTGTACAGCCGGGGTCCGAGTCGGGAATGAGATGTGATAATCTCGGCCTCTTTGGCTGAGGAAATGCGTCCTGGTGGTCGTAGGTGTCGTAGAAATCGTCTTCATCAAGATGACCAATCCGTCGTTTGCCACCCATAATGTACAGGTCGGGACTCAGGGCATTGTCCTCGCCCTGGGACAGTGGCCTTGCCTCCCCTCCTACCACCCAAAACGCCATTGAACATGTCTGGAGAATTGCAGATGGGTGTGAAAAGGTGAAAATGGATGGGAAAGGGCAAATCTCGGAGGATCGGGGTAGGAGAAGGGTTGGCAAGCCGGGGGGTTGAAAGTGAAATACGGGCGGCTTCGCACCCTGGAGTCATGTGCGCCCGGAAATCGCATTGAGCATGCCGGTGGAGAAGGGTGACGGACGACGGCGTCCGTCCAATGGCTGGGTACGGCAACTAACGAGGAATGGATAAGTCGGGAAGCCCATGCCAGAGAACGAAACAAAGACAACGGTTTCGAGTAGGGTAGTGAGGCGAATGGGGGAGTGATGGGAATTCCTGCCAGAGAGCCAGAGAGCGTCTTCTCTGGGCGAACAACAGATGCATGGAGAGACCCAGCTCAGGGCCGCACAGCGTAGCATGGGCCGTCTAGGCCCCCTTGGCTGGCGCTCCAATGCAGAATCCCAACCAGCGGGACGAGGTTTTGGGGGTCGTTTGCGGTTTCGATAGGTTGGGTGGATGGCAGACGACCGTCGTACGAGCGGTGTGCAGGAGCTAAGGCGGATATGCGTGTGCGGCGTTGCGCATCGCAGATTTAGTGCGAGGTCCATCGCTGCCATCCCCCGACCGGTGCAAGGAACGTGGCGTCGTCAGGGCCGTCTTGGTGTTGGAGCTCGACGAACCTACCCTCCCAGCGCTGCCAACCTTGCAAGCCTCGAAGGCTGCCATTGCACGCCTCAATCTCAATTGCCCTGAGCCGCCCTCCCTGCAAGCAAGACACAGCTAATGCTGCTGATGTTGATGACGCAGGAGACGTGGTGCTCGACGCCGTCTCACATACATGCAGTCCGTCAGCCAGACAGCCCTTCCAGACCTCGTGGCCGCACAGGAATCTCGAGATCACGAGCCCACCCGAAATCGACGGCTCGCCGGATGCAGTGCAGAGCGCGGGCGGAAGAGTCCAGGTCGAGGCAATCGAGCGACCGCGGCGACGGCGACGGCGACGGCAACACAACAGCACCTGCACTGCTGCAGAGCGAGGGATGGCAAGGACGCACACCTGCTGGGGCGGTGGGGGGAACAACACTGGAAACTGGAAACTGGAGGCGTAGTGGTGGGCGGGAGGCGAGGGTCGGCCGTGTCCAACAGATCTGGTTGGGTTCGGCAACGGGGGGGCTGGACTTTTGCCGCCCATCATTGGCTGCGCGACCCCGGACTCGACCTCTCATTGGTTGCCTCACCCGTGCACATCGTCGTCGTCTGTGGTCGCCTCCTTTTTTCGAGGCTTCCAATATTTTGGAGATTGGATTGCCAACAACAGAAGTTGGAAGCCAACACCACTCTCACTCTTTAGCATCCCACCCTGGTCCGCCGTCCGTTCGCTCGCTCGTGCTGCCTATCCGTACGCTTGTCCATGACGACTCGGCCACAAAGACCCACGGAGCATCCTCCGACGCAGAGCCAAACAGACGACGAAGTCGACCAGGAAGCTGACTCCTACACCCCGTCGAGTACAGGGCAGGCGAGACATACGTCCGGTCGTTGTTGCACTGCGCCGCCATGCGATGCGATGCGGTGCGGTGTGCTTGCAATGCATGTGGTATCTCGGAATGTTTGTTGTTAATGCTGTCGATGCACTGGGACTGCGAATATCCACGAACGGGTCCTGTCGATTGACAGCGGCATTTTGATGCTCGCTGCATTGGTGACACTCGCCGACGAAACAATGCTTTTCGCCCTGTCTTCGCCAGCTATGGGTCCCATCCTTCCTAGACACCGCTGATCTTTGCTGTCTCGGCGGGATGCCATTCAGGATCTTGCCTGCTCGCCCCCAGCTGGTGACTGGTGTTTCTGGGTTGAGCCCACGTCGAACCGAAAAAAGTATTCCCAGCTGCCCGGAGAGCTGTCTTTCGAGGCCCGCAACGCATTGAGTGCTTGCGTCTGTCATTCTTCGGTCCCTTAGGCTCGGACGAGACCTATGAGCACGGACTGCGGGCAGGCCGAACTCTATCTGCTTGACTCTTTAATGCGCCTGCTTCTCCGAGTCTTGGGAAGGAAACCATCGATGCCTGTATCCCGACTTCCCCTCTCGGTAGATGAGGGGGAATTGGAGTTCGTCGTGCGATGCTGCCGTGCCGAGATCCATCACGATTGAGAGTAATGTTTCGTGTGTCGTGGATCGGCAACGAGCTAGCAGTGTCGATTGTCTAATTCCTAGGTTTGTACGATGACTTTGCCAAGCTGAATGTGATGGATTACAAGCCTCAAATGTTGATCTCGGTTGATAGTGATTGACTAGTCTCACGACCGTCGCTTCGCTTGCCAAAGCAGCTGAAGCTTCAACGATCTGGAAGAAGGGAGATGGGAATGGAAAAGTGGTCCGGGATGGGCGCTACCGAGACACCATCAGGCTGGACGGGACCCTGATGGACCCTGAATGCGCTTCGTGACCACTATCGTCGCAAGTGCGGATAACTTCATGGCTGCCAAGATAGGGCGATGCTGAGAGTGAATCCGGGACGTAGGAGCCGACACACGGATGAGGAAAACGAGCCAGAAGATGGTCCAGGGTCCTGCCATGTCAAGAGGTGGAAGGATGACAGGGTCCATCGACCAGGGGGTGCTCTTATCGCGAATGATTATCGCCTATCGCCCATGGAGCCTGGCCTAGCCACCTTGGGTCTAGACCCCGCTGACTAACCAGGAGGAGGTTGGTGTGCTTGCTCTTTCCAACGACATGTCGTTCCTTCCCCAAAAGTTGTCGAGATGGAGATGGCCTCAACAGCGTTGCGAGGGCGACAACGCCTCAAAACCTTGAAAATATAAGGCAGGTGCACCTTCCAGCAGACTTTCCACCTGCATGAGGCTGGATCTCGTTTCTATTTTGATCTTTTGATAATTTTTCTTCCTTTTTTCCAATCGGGCTTTGTGGGAGGTTGTTCAAAGCCCTGATCTTCAATAAGTGGAAGGAGCTGTGGAAAAGGCTTTGTGCCGCGAAGCAGAGCCGACCTACTCAGCTGGTCTGAGCTTGACCAGTAGAGCCAATGTCCATTTCTTTGGCCTTGGGCTGTTTTTGTACATCGTGATTGACGCCGCTGACGTCTGGCGCGAATGGACTCATAAGCCAATCAAAATTGCCTGAGTAGACCAACTCCCGCATGATGATATATGCATCACTTAAATACATTTCGAACGACATCTTCCAGCTTTCTAGATGAACACATTCTCAGTCGTTCACAATATCAAGATGCGATGTTGTCGCAATATGCTTCTGGGTCCCACCTCGGTCCCATCATCCGCACTGACACCGATCCACAAGAAGCCTCCATCCTTGGAGGGAAACATTCATCCAGATGGGGATGCGCACTTCCAATTGCCAGAATGAGCGGCGTAGATTCATCAACACGTTGGTACGGAGTCCGTGTGGACTGGGGGCTCAGCAAGAGTCCAAATAGACTTACTATGCATGCTGAAATAGATTCTCCCATCATGGCCTGGCACTTGGTTAACACACTAGGTCTGATTGCAGACCGTGAGCTTGCCAGGCTTTTAACTCTCATTATGGGGCACTTTCAGAAGACTGGCGTCCTGGACCGTGTTTAAGCGGGGCGCTGTCCTGGAAGCGAGTCCCGGGCTGAGCCATAGCAACCAGTATCACCACTCGCGGCCAACATCTCGAACCTGTCCAAAATCGACGCTCCTTCCTCCGTTGAAGACAGGAGCTACGCCAGGCAGCCGACCTCCCTCTCTTCTCTTCTCGCGACACAACTTTTTTTGCTCCGCCCACAACAAATTTTCCTTTCCACTCTCCCACACTTCCACCACCACCTCTCCCGTCTACAACAACGTGGGCGAGACTTATTCTTTCCACACCTTGTCAACCAACTTTTGGCAATCCTCCCCTCTTCACATCCCTTGACGACAGTCTTTCTGGCCTTGTTTTTTTTTTCCCCCATTCACAAATTTCTTACGCGTCTCCTTGTGGCGCGTCCTTTGGGAGTCAAGCAGCTTTACTTTGGCAGTCCCGTCACAAGTCAAATTTGCACCCCTTCCTGATCAGATCACATTCTTTTCAGCATCAATATCTCTCAGAAGGCTTCTTCTGACATACATTTCATCTCTTTGAGCTGGAAAATTGCTGCGCGAGACGATTTTCACCCCATCTCGCACTTTTTGGCCCCTTCACAAGAGGCAGAACTGAGGATCCGTTTTCAATACTTCCCAAGCCGCAATCCCAATCGATTTCACAATGGCTGACAAGCAGAAGACCAAAGAGGTAAAGTTTTTTCGCACCTTCTATTTTTATCCATCACAAAAGCTTGATCCTAACGCCATGCAGCGCCCTGCCAAGCGCTCGCTCACTCCGAACCGCAACTTGTACAGCTCATTCAACGAAGCTCACCGGAACATTGCGCCGCCTACTCCCAAGCTTCCCTTCGAGACGGTCCTGGGAAACGGCCAGCGATTGACCCAAGAGCAGCTTGAGCAAGTTGAGCAGATTCTGAGTGATGCCAATCGGTCCAAGGATTTCGAGGAGCCAGAGAGCAAGGTGAAGACCGAGGAGACAGAGCTTCCCAGTACCAGCACTCAGTCCGGCAATGGCACCAACTTTACGACCCACTCCGCCCAATCTGCCGTTGAAGCCAAGAGAGAGACCATCTGCAAGGACCCTCGCGCCTCTTCTGTCTACCCATCTGATGATGAGTACGCCTTCATCGACACCTCCATCTCTTCTCTGCCCGAAGCCAAGGCCAAGCAAGAGCAGCCGCACCCTGCAGATGACCCATTCGCCAGCCGAAATGCCCTCGACAACTGGCAAGATTCCTCCTCCATCTATCCCGAGGACGCTATTTCTTTGGGTCAGGTATCTGATGATGAGCCCGTTCCCGAAGTCAAGCTCGAGCCCAAGTCGTCTCCCATCATGGCTTCA